CCACCGCCATTATCTGAGAATTGTGATATACGATCGATGGATGTATTTGTAGTAGAAGATTTTTTTTGTTGATCATTCGTTGATGTTGATAAAATTCTTTCATCGGGTTGTGAACGTCGACTATTTGATATTATTTGTTCGACAGTTAATTGTTTTATATGATGAACAGTTTGAGAACGATCTTGAGATATTGATGCATGTTCATTAGATATATTAATGATACTCTTTTGATGTGTTTCATTTGGCATTGTTTTATTACCATGAATTTCTTCTTGTATACGACGTTGTACTAGTATACGTCTAAAAAGAATATAATCAAAAAATATTTTTGGTGAATATAGAATCGAACCTTTGTTGATTAGCATTGTCTAATTCTTCTGAATTAAGTGGTGGTGGCCAGCGAATTTTACCAATTCGTACTGTTTTAGCTCGTAAATTTTTTTGAGCTTCAGGAGAACGTCGTGTGAAGACATGTGAAGGAACTTTGACAGGACTTCTGTTTAACAAAAGAATTATCGTGATTAGAGAAATGATTGATATGAAAATATATTTTACTTATTATTCGTTGTTAAATTTTCTTTTGAAATAGATTTTTTTTGTGTTTGATCATTACGCGATGACATTAAATCTAATTGTGACATTGAAAGACGTTGAACACTTATATTAGGTTTTATTATTGATGTTGGAGATGTACTGGATTGTGTTTCAACTTCATTTTCTTCGATTATAGTTGGCGTTTTCTTTGATGAATTTACTTGTTTAGAGGATATTAATTGAGAAACATAATTTTCTGAATGATCTAAAAATTATTGATCGTTTAAATAATTCATTTTTTTTTTTAAAATAATCAACTTACATGGCATTTGCTCGGGTTGATTTATTTGATCAGTCTATAAATTCAATGATTCTTATTTTTATTTCAATTTAATGGTACCTTCCTCGTTTTTTAGCACTTCTAGCTCTTATCGACGGTACAACCAATCAGATTGATGTTGTTCGAGGAAAAAATTTTCAAAAAGTTTTACGGTATAATCTTAATTTTCCATGAGACCACATCCTAGTACTTTATGTCTTTTTCGAAAACCTCACTTTCTGTTCTTATTAATGAGAAGAAAGCATACAATTTTGAAGCTACAATGAGAGATTTGACTTTTAGAATCTTCTTATATCATGGTGGGAAGGGGGATATTCTTAAGGAAACTAACCCTCTCCCTTTTCGGTGTTTGTGAAGAACGGTCCATGAGAAATATTTGAAACTTTCAGGATAGATAGGTCTTGATAAATAAACAAAAGTCGTCGTAGATTCAAAATTCCAAATACTTGTTTCTAGATAATATCTGGATCGTCAAAGTTAAAAATCGCCCCGCTTTCTTGACTGCAATAAGTCTAATATAACTTGATTTTTTTTTTGCAAATACTAGACACTGTTTTGACTGCTTACGTTTTTTTAATCTCCTTCCATTCGAGTAAAAAGATCAAAATATTGAAGAGACCTCCAGAAATACAGGTTTTTTGTTATTAGAATTTTTTTCTAAACACTATCAAAAATCAACGGTGCAATGTTTTCAAAGCAAAGAAAAATAGACACTCTATACAGTGTCCAATATCTGTGCAAAAAAGAATTTCAGTTTAATCGAAGATACTATGTCGCAGAAACGACGGCGATGCTACACAATTGATTTAAGAAAAAACGAAAAGCAAATGTTTCTCTTTATATCAAGGCTGATTTTCTCCACGTACACTAGTCATGTTCAACCAGGTTGTACATTCATGATCCGTGCTCTCAGGACCACTGGAATAAGAAATAATCATTATTATTAGGAGAATTTTGACAGAGGACAATTTAAAGTTATATTACCTATTAAAAACCAAAATCTGGATTTTAACATCCGAAAATAGGGAGAGGGTCCCTTAAAATCGAGAAGATCTTACTGGATTATTAACGTCTGTTGATTGTTTTAAATAAACGGGAAGATATTTTTTTCCACTAATATTAATAACCGGTACAAAAACAGGCCCATTAGAATTCGTTGATGCTGTTGATTGATTTGATTTAGTAATTGTTGATGTTGAACTTGTTGTTGCAAAACATACAGCAGGATTAATTGGAATAAGTTTTATATTCTTTTTATCCTTTGATTTAAAAAAATTATGATCAATATCTGACGACTCCAGGATGAAATAATTAATTATTTATAGAAAAAAACATTCATATCTAAAATTTAAATTAAAATATATATACAATAAAGATATCATAAGTATGTTTTTTTTTTCATTAAATTAAAATGCTATTGGTTGAGGATAGCAATGATTTACAAAATGAGAATGTTTTTCAATAGGATCTTGTTCATTAGAATTAACAGTAGAAATTGGTCGCATTCGATCAAATCGTTGATTACGAAAACCACTTGGTTGACGATAAAAAACACGATGTTTTGGTCGATGCATATATTTTGTATATTCACTTGTATCATCAGTTTCTGTTCGACTTGAATACCCAATTTGAGGTAATATAAATCTGTTTTCATTTGTAAATGATGAACAACCATGATCGATCATCGTTGCATTACTATTATTGTTATTAGTATTTAATTGTTGATTACGTTTTTTCTTTGTTTTAATGGATTTTTTTCGTTCTGCTGTATCTTTTTTTTCATTTCTTGTTTTCTTTTTTTTCCCATTTTGATCATTAGCATTTATTGAACGAATTGAAGATTTTTTTTGTAGATGATTTTTATGAAGTAAATTTGATAAACCACGACGACGTGCTGATGGATCAATACGACTATTTGATATTATCTGTAAACGACGTTGATCAAGTGTTGATAATATTTTTGTTTGAGTTTTTTTCTTTGCTAAATTTTTTGGATCAAGTGCACGATCAAATAGATCATCAAGAAATGCTTCAACATCTGATTTATGACATGGTAATGGAAGATCAGTTATAGTAGCAATAGATTCAGAATCAAATCTACAAATAAATATCAGAATAACCCACTTTGTTTTTTTCATGATTTGTTTTTTACTTACATGGAATTTCCTTGTTTTTTAGCTTGCGGATAACCTGATTTAGGTCGTACAAATTTGTTTTTTATAAATCTAAATATAAAATCATAATTATATCTTTTCTTATTTTAAAATAAAAATATCAACTAGACACAACCGGGACCAGTCATTTGGGGTTCTAGTCGTAACGAAACCGACACCGAGGGCATCTTATCCATATCTATTTAGAACACATAAGTTGTGACAATCGTAACTCAATTACATAGTGTTGATCTTGGTTCTGACTCCAAACAAAAATAAAATTTAGTGCCAGCCCTAATAAAAAAAGAATAAGGCCACGATCTAGGTCACAAAAGGATCTAGTTCCAGTCCTGGCCAAAAGCAAAATTTGATCCGACCTTGGCTATAAAACGAATACGATTTCAAACTAAGTAAAATAAAACTCTAATATCAAGCCCGATCAAATAAAGAATCTGGTCCCGACTCTAGCCAGGACAAGATATAGTCGCAACCTCACCGAAAGGGGACCATCTTGCCCATATCTTATTTCAACTAATTAAATGTTCAGTATGTATATATGTGTTAGTGTTCAATCTCGGAACTATTGGATGAATACAAGATATAATTCCGTTCGATATATTTATAACTTACTTGGTTCCTTGTTTAGAATTATCTTTTGCAGGGGAATTTCTGTTTATTTGTGCATCTTCAGTTTCATACTCGGTTAAATCAGCTTGAACGTCACCAACAACATCGCCATCTGAATAGACACTTGATAAACGATATTCATCATTATGACCATTCTAAACATAATAGATAACAAAACAAAACAAAACTTAATCAATAAATTAACATACAGGCTTTACTGCATTATGAATTGATGAGCCTAAAAATATTTTTGTTTTAATATTTTATTAAACTTAAATATAAAATAAATCTTACCAATTTTTTCATATTGATTTAAATTTGCTGGACCATCTGAACAAGCAGAAAATTCTCCATAAAATGATGTTGGATTATCCACACCACTATAATCACTAAAAAGAACGGAAAAATAGAATACTTTTATATTAAGGTTAACAAAATTCTGATGATAATATAATGCTTAAGACAAGGGAAAAGCATTTCATGCAAATTTGATCTCATGCAAATTTACGTGCATGATTAATAAATATTGGAAATTCATGTATTTCTACCTAACAACAAGTGGTGGTGGAGGTAACGGTGATGTTTTATGAGATTTTGCTGTATGATGTTGTTTAGTTGGACGAAAACAACGCAAAGCAGGTATTTTTGATATAAGATGTCCACCACATCCGGCATCAATCATTGAATGTGATGATGATGTAAATGTATTTGTTTTACGTATTGATCCTTTACGTTCATTCGTTGATACTGGTGCTGATTTAGGATTTGTTTTATTAATTGATGATTGATTATTTACTGGTACTCGTTTTTCAATAGGTTTTATTTCCTCATCAACTTTTACTTTTTCTCTACTCGATCTTGATGATGATAATGGTGGTGGTAATGTTGGTGTATCTTGATGATATGGCATATTTATTTCATTTTTTTGTATAGGAATTTCAGCTTGTTGACCATCAGTTATTGAATATGCACTAGTTGCATCAGTTTTTAATAAATCTTTTGTTGCTGATGGTAGTAGTGAAAATGGTTGATGTTCATGCAAACTTTCTGACGATGATGATGATGATGATAATGATGAATTCGATTTTTTACTTGTTACATCATGATAAACAGGTGAATGATGTTTAATATATTTTTTTTCAATTTGTTGTTGATCATCACTACTAAAATGTTTTGGATATTTGTATGGTGATGAACAATTTGATGAAGATACGCGTCGACCATTTTTTGATAAACGACTTGAACGTGTATTATCAATTTTTAAAAACCATTCTTTCGATCTATTAGATTTTAGATGTTTTTTTGTGTCATTAAAACAATTATTTTATTTATTTGTTTTGTTATATATTCTTTTTTGTATTTATAGAAAAACTTACCTAACTGTTGTACGATGATTACGTCGTCGTTGACTTTTTGATGAACGATCACGACCATCATGTATAAGAAAAAATGATTTACAAACTGGTGAACATGGTGGAATTTCTAATTCACTTATTAAATCAAGTATATAATCATGTCCCATTAATTCAATTTCATTGTCATTATCTTCTAATGATACAGTCCATCCAAATGAATTATCTTTTAATATACCACGTGATGATACTAATTCATATGCAAATTGTTCACCTGTCATCCATGATTCAACTTCGCCGAGAATTTCAAAATCTAATTAAAATAAAAATTTTATTCATTAAAAATTTTATAAAAGTATTTTTTTTACTATCAAAAAACTGTGCTTGAAGTGCCATTGGAATTGAACGTTTATTAGCAGACCATTCTAACTGTATTGGTGGATATGTTCTTGGTGCATCAGCAGAACCTGCTGCTAATAATTTTCGTTTACCTAATTCAGTATTGGATGGATTTTCTTCTGAGATGAAACTACACAAGAAAAAAAAGCTTAAGAAAAACTTATAAAGAGCTCTTTCCGGAAAGATGAACACCATTTATTTGAAAAGCCACTTATATCATTTTGTAGAGAACCTCGTGACACATCGAATGGCATATAAGAAATTGCATTTTTATCAAGTTTTGAACAAATATTAGGAGTCAGTATGGCTTCAAACCAACCTATATCAAGTTTTTATTAACTCACAATGTTTGCATTTTACTAGCTTCGGCAATTTTTTGCTTCTATGGTATTTTACATTGTTCGATACTGTTTCTGAGGACAAAGACGAGAAATCATGCAACTTTTTCAGACACTGTATGCTACCAAACTCTATATATCAATTGATTGCTCTCCGAATTGATGTGTGTCATAGTCGAATCAGTCAATCCATACCTAAAAAAGGGTCAATTTTTCCATTTCTAAAGACAAAAACGTATATTTTGCTTCCAGATTTCTAGAGCGGATAACGGAGATATGCAAAATTTTTAATTCTCATAAGAGATTGAGCATCATATTCTATCTGATGGACTTCCATACTCTAATGAAATCCAGCTACTCAAGATCGAAATTCATAGGAAATAAAATAAAATAAAAATTAATCTTTCTAATATTCCATTTCTTAAAGAGGTGACAATACTTTATTGAAGTAGCCTAAAATAAAATGTGATATAGGTTGGCTTGGAGACATACTGACTCATAGTATTTGGTCGTATTATCTACAATTGTTATAATATCCCTCAACCGGTATAAGATCTCTCATAATATTAAAATTTGATGAAAAAGCAATTTCCTATATACTATTCGATGCGCTACAAGTTGCTCTAGGAAACAGTATAGGTGTCTTTTCAATTGAATAGTCGTCATCTCCGACAAGTTTCTTTGAAATCAAATACTTGAATAAATATTTATAAAATTTTGATGATGGTGGAAAACAACCAATACAATTAAACATTAAAAGCCATGCTTTACTTAATTTAATTAAGTCAATATTATTCCATATTTGATTTACTATCTGAATTATTATTTCATCACGTAAAATTTCATTCATTAAACCCTTCAAGAAATACATATTTTATTTGAATATAGTTTTTTTTTTCAACATACCATTTGAATTATATAATCACCTAATGCTCGATCTCGTTTTATATCATGTTCAGATGTATTTACAAAACGTAAAATCTATATAATCTTTACATACAAAAAAACACAAGAAAATATTTCTATCTTACTAATTTAAATAACGATAATGCTAATTGAATATGTTGTTGGTCATGTATATTTTTTGTAAATGGTTCTTTAATTGGAGTTAATAAACGATCCCATTTCATTCCAAGCTAATACATATATATTTATTAAAGTTTCATAAAATAAATTTTGAGAAAAAGAAAACAAAGCTTACATGAGTATTTTCTTGAATATATTTCATAAATGATGATGTTCCTGTATTATTATTCAATGGAAATAAATGTTGTTCAGTAGGAATAACATTTGCTGATCGAGAAATTTCAATAATATGTTGTTCACTATGTGGTTCTTGCCAATCTATGAAAAAAATGTATGTATGCCCAATTTCATTCAAAAGCAATGTGATTTCACAAAAAGAAAACGCTTATATCTCTAAGCTCGAGTATCTGTTTTAGCTAATCGTTATAGAACAGTATGTATGTTGAGTTAATCTAGATACTCGGAAAAACTCAGTCCTATAGATATATTAGTTCCACTAGGTTATTATTGGAAAACCAGCATTAACGATGTGAGAAAAAAAAGACGAAGATTTTCATTGAGTGTGTTTCCATTGCAGTATTCTTAAAACTAAATAGTGCGTTTTGTAGAGAATTCTTCAGAGTGCAAATTGTCTGAAGATTTTTTATTGAACATGCTTAGACTTTCCAAAAAATTGAGTTTATTCGTTGTTAGCGACGCCAGTACAGATGTACGGAACCAAGGTTTTTTTATCCCAGTGATTTTAGTTTTATTACTTTCGATGTAGAGAAAGTTATTGCAGGATGTTTTCGCATCATATTTAAAAAACTTCTTCAATACTCATTTTTTGATTTTTTTTAGCCGACGGCTAGTGCTTTTTTGAGTCATCTCTTTTGAATTATGTTCTGATTGATGATTTATAAGATAATTCGCTTAAAATCTTAGAATCTTTGACTATAATCTTCAGTTTCGATCCCAGCAAGGTTCCAAACTTTAGTCCGGATCACCGAGACAAGAGTGGGACTATACTTGACCCCATAGATCTCTAGACGTGAGTAAGTACGAATAAAAATCCTTCTGTAACTGAATGAAAATTCCAAAAATCAATTCTAAATGATACAAATCTTTCGTAAGGATCGTGAGATGATAGCAAAAGAAAAACGTCTCTATCTGGGACAAGAACAGACCGCTTGAAAAACAGTTTTTGAAGTTCGATTTTGCTGAAAATGTCACTATAGATATAGTCTATTCTGAAATTCTAAGACTAGCTAAGTAACCTTAATTAGGTGAAAGCTTAAAGACCCTATATTTTTATGTATATTGATGAGAACAGAACCTATTCAAACAGAATAAACCTTAAAAAGAATCAAAGATTGTCATGTTCCGTTTTTATTGATTTTGCCGATTGAAATAAAAAGAAAGGCAAAGACGAAAAAAAATCATAAATACCATCAAGACGATTAAAAACTAAATTTAAATCATTCGGTATTTCAAGTAAATGAAATTGTGTTGGCTAAAAATAATTTTCAAAAAGTTATTATAAAATAATTTTTTTTTCTCAATAAAACCTACCTGATATTGTGGAGAATTTGAAGTTGTAGTTCGTCTAAATAATAAAAAAATTTCATTATCAAAACAAAAAATTTATTGTTTTGTTTTTTCCTTACTCAGTCATTGAATGTAATGTTGAACTAGTACCTGTTATATGACTTAAAGCTGTCGATCGAGAAAAACATGATGTACCCGAAAAAGATGATTCAAGTGATTCACATAATTTTATACTAAGGCTTGTCGATTTTTCAGAAATTCTATCAAAAGTAACATCTGGACTCATCGATATCATAGCTCTAGCTATAGATGTTCCTAAACTTGGTCGACGTTGAAAATGACCTATGGATGGTGATCCTGTTACTTTCATTTTTCAAAACTAACAATTAATTGAAAAATTGCTTCTTTTTTTGTTCTTGTCGTACACTCTCATTCAGTTAATCAAATAATCCCTGTCTGACATTTTGTTAAATGATCATGATCGACTTGTAATTATGTTTATTGTCGTTCAATAGTGTAAATATTTAGATTTGACTTACTTTTTATTATCAATCCAACGACGATATTGTCTTTGAAGAATAAGAACTGCATGACGTTGTTTTTCAAAATTTCTTCGTTGAATATAACCTTTTATTGAACGTTGAATTGTTGATGCTGCTTCATTTAATATTGATGAACGTTCTTTTTCAAGATGGTATTCAAGTGATTCACGCATAAAAACCTTAGTTAATAACATGATAAAATTTTTATTTTTTTTTTCTTACGAGGGAACGTTTTTAGCTAATCAATCTTGTTTAGATTCGAACTGAGTGCATATTATAGAGTCTATAGTGAGATATGAAAAAAACTCCAAAAGATTAGTTCGTTTAGGTCTTTTGTTCAGAGTTATAAGTATTTTATTAGCATTTTAGATTAGAGCATGTCAAACACCTACAAAATTGAATGCCAATATTTTGACCTGAAGTTTCGCTCACCGACAGGTCTATTTGTCAATAGAATATCCTTAAAATTCCAGTTCAAAAGAATATTTCCTTCCTAAGATATTAAAATCCCAAAAATCTCTCATATTCCACAAAGATGTTAGAATTCTCTATGTTTTGGGACTTTCATATCTTGGGAAAGAAATATTCTTTTGAGATAAAATTTTCAGAGTATTCTACTAACAAATAGATTTGTCTGTAGCCGAAGTTGTAGGTTGAAATATTGTTGTTCGATTTTTTATGTTCGTTATGTTCGAGGCCACAATTAAAATAAAATGCCTATAATTCTAGACAGAAGATCTATGGAGACCGATTCTTGTAAGATTTCTCATGTATCACTGAACTCTGCCTTATGCACTAAGTTCGAATTTAAAAGCGATTGATCAGTTGAAAACGCTCCCTCGTTAGTCTGTTTGAATAAATCACAAAATCTGAGTGCCAGACAATTGCTTGCTGGTGTATATGGGTTCCTCTCTTTATCCACAACTTTTGTAAACAAGTGTCCTACATCTAAAAATTTACTTTTGTAATTCCTATTTGATATTTTGAAGTAAACTTTGGTGGAAAATTATTTAAAATATGTATTGTTATTTCTTTTGGATCTGTATTATCAATTGAGTTTGATATTAAACAACGATATCTAAATAAAAAGAAAATAGTCCATTATTAGAATTAAATAATATTTCCTATTAACGAACCGTTTAGCAAATTGTTCAAATGAATAACGACGTGGAAAACCTAATTTTCTTATTCGTACAGTTTCAAGCATTCCCGTATTACGTAATTGTTCAAGTACAACAGATAATTCTAATTTATTAGGTGTTTTATCATTATTTGGCTTAATACAACGAATAAATATCGGTTGACAACGTGTCATTGTATCAATTAAATTTGATAAACTATCAGCAAATTTTGCTGATACAGTTGGTGTTTTAGCTTTCATTGTTATAAAACGACCTGTTTTGAAATGAAAACCACGATGAGATTCATAAACTTCACGTATATCACGAAACATATTAGCTAAGATTTCATTCCGACTTGATGAAAATAAATCAATAACATCACTGCGTAATAGATCACGATTTTTATCAAGAAATCCACGTACCTTTTATTATTTTCATATGTATAGAATACAAATAAATTATAAAGAGTTTCAATTAACTTACGTCATATTCAACTTCACCTGCATAATGTCGTATGCTAAAAGTTGTTTTTAATAAACGTGGTTTACCATATAAACGATTTGATTCATGGACACGATGGCATTTATGTAAGAATGATTGATCAGTTGCCTTAATTAAGAATAAAAGGTTTTTCAATACGATTTAATACTCTAATTTATGAGAATTTATCTTAAGTTAAAAATAATTTTGTTTTTACGAGATACTTTTCGTTTTACGTTTTAATCTACATTGAAGATTATGTTTCATAATTTTTTAAACAATCTAACTTTGCATTTTGCCATGAGCTTTTAAATATAGATATATTATATATAATCTTGCTCAAACAAGAATGAGAGTTTGAAAAATATGTTCTATATTTGAATACCAAATTTCTATAAATTTTATATGTTGGTTTCTTTTTTATTGTTTGTAATATTTTTATTCTACACACCAAAGAATTAAAGAAAATCATTTTTATTCAGGTGTCGATAAAGATAGTTTCATCTAACTCGACTTAAAGAGTATTTTTTTACGCTAGTTGGGCGAAATTCAATTTCTGTTGGACTGCTCTGGTCCGAACTTGACTTCTTTTCTCAAGAGAGCCTCTCATTTATCCACATGCTGAGCAAAGTGTTCATTGCCCTCAGTGATATAAATTTCACTAAGGGTATCTTCCTTTTTTGTTTGGCCATTTCTAGTTCCCGACGAGATTACAACAGGTTCGCATGAAGTTTTGACCATGAATAGATCCCGTGAAGTAAAGAGATATATGTTCAGGGAAAAAAAAAGTTAATAAAGGTTTTTGCACTTTTTTCTCTGAGACGGTACCGGGTCCGCTTACGACCCCCATCTAGCACTGTCAGACTGAACTGAAGATCGACCGTTTTTGTTTTTGATTCTCCTATTTCGATTTATCAAATCCTGAAGGACATCAGCCTAGTTTGAAATCCAAACCTTTACGTATTTCTTTCATCAGAAAATAAGAAAGTCAGATTTATGAAAAAACTTAAAAATCACCTCTGAAATAGAGTTCACGGTATCTCAAAAACAATTTTCAGCTCGATTGGACACAATTAGACGAGAATCATAACCGAATCTGACGTAGTCCTATGAAAAACCAGGTTTCCGAGAAAAGTGCGGAAAACTTGTTTAAAGTTTTCCCTCGAACACATATCTCCTTATATCAGGTGCTCTAGGTATGGTAAAAATTTAATGCGAATCTGTTGTACCCTCTTCGATATATAATAATTTATATCACTTCTAAAAGTTGGTCAGTGAATAATTTACTCCTGAGAAGTTCCTATTAATGAATAATAGTCTTGATTATATTGAAGCATTAAAGAATTCATCTTATTTTTCTTGTTAAATAAGTAATTCGACTTATCTATTTTTACAAGTATTATAATTGTCCGATTTTATTGAACCCTTGCTCATTATAATGAGAAACGTTTTACAATGTTCTCTTAAACTATTAAAGTAATCCTTGGGTTTCATCATGCAGAGATCTAATTAAGGGGTTGGTCGACTGTTTATAGACAAAATATTTGATTCTCTTTCGTGTGTTTAGATACATTGATAGTATATTAGTATTAGAATTTTTCTGTGACTTTTCAGATATGCGATAAAATCTTATCGAATATATATATATGTAAGGATACATAAAATAATTTTCTGCAAACTGTTGAAGTGTAGTAAACGCTTTTATAAAGCCTATCGTAAAAAAATGGCTATTTTCGCCTTATCAATGTAAAATGACCCTCTGTCATAGCTCTGCCATTTTGTACTGAATTAACCGACTCTCTCCATTCTTGCGTCATTTTATTGAGTAGAGATCACCCTAAAACATTATATATTTACGGAATTTATTTAATTCCCTAAAAACGTTCGGCTCACCCCTTATTTATAATCAATGGCATAGCGAACATTAATAGAGTAGAAGTCGAGTCAAAAAAACATGAGTAATTCTCGACTTGGTGCAGGTCGGATCAAGGTGTCCATATGTATTTAATTAGGAAGCCTCGTTCTGATGAATTATGCAACAAATCTTTCATTGCTTACATATGCTTTTCAAATCGAAACAATTTTTTTTTCGTTAATTTACCTTTGGAAAATTACTTTCATCATCAAGAATTTGTAAAATTCCATTTGGTTTTTTACCAATTAAATCAAGACAATCAGTATTATCAGCAAAATCAATTTTTTTCCATGCAAGTTTTTCTTTTGCATATTCTTCCTGTAAACAAAGAAAAAAAAAGAGAAGGCGCTAGTCAACCTCAACCATTGCGTTTGAGTTGTTTTTTTTTTCTGGGAATAAATTAACCTGTTCTAATTTAAATATATGCCGATTAAAATGAAATTGTAAGGCTTCATTAGCATAGTTGATACACAATTGTTCGAAGCTATTTGTTGAAAAATTTTCAAATCCAAATATATCCAAAATAGCAACACTATTATCAACATTATTATTTACACGGACTATTTGATTGATACGTGCTACAAGCCAACTAAATAATGTTGAATAAAGAGCTTTAGCAATAGCATCTCTAATAAAAAAAATTAAAAAAAATTTTTTTTTTAATTTTTAATAAAAAGAAAAACCTACCGTGAATCGAGTGCTTGTTCAAGATTAAATGGTGATAAAAGACGTTCATCACGAGCTTCTGTAACCTTATGCGTTAATTTTTGTAAAAGACCTTGATCATTAAGTGCAAGTAAATGTGAACACCATTCAATTTCAGTTTTCGAACTGATTTGTATTAAATCATGACCAGGATCATCAACTGTACGTGAAAAATAAATATTTCCAAGATGTAAAATAGCAGCAAGAATTTTAAATATTGTTTCTTGTTCATTTTTTGTAAAATTAAGAATTTTCATAGCAGTTAATAATGATTGAAAATCATGTGCATCTGATTTACTTGATATAGCCATTGAAGCACCCTTTAGTAGAGAGGAAAAAAAACACACAAAATATATAGCAGGTAGTGTGAAAGTATCTGGACACAATATCCTTTCATATTTTGACTGACTACGAGAGTTAGTAGAATATTTAAAGTATTGAATTAGAATCAAAATTTTGTGCTATTTGCGAGTGTATGTTGACAAAGATAGAAGTAATATTTATTGAAAATACACTAAAAGAAAGAGTAATCGTTTCTGAACAAAATCATATTTTAATCATTTGTTTTCTGCGATGTTTCTATCAATAATAAAGATAGCCGAAATTTTGCCAATAGGATATTCGCCGATCACGAAAGTCCTTGGTACTTTTGATAATTGGCGCAATTCTGGGATCTCAATAATAAGACTTTTAGTAAAAGACATATTGATATCTTCAAAATTCCTTGATTTCAAGACTTCGAAAATCAGCTCCATTATTTGGGAAGCATCGCTACAAGACTTTTGGGTTATAATTCGCTTTGTAGATGACTAACTCGCTCTTGACTCTATCCAAAACAGTTGATAATAGAACGTAGAGTTCGGCAATTTCTGTTCAGTTCCCTAAATATCATATGGAATCGAAAACATTAAATCATCTCATACTTATGTACTGAAATTTTTTATCTCAAGAATGAAAAAAATGAAGATTTATCGATATAGATTTCAAAATCTTGTTGTATCTATCTGGCAATTTAACTGTTTCGGTTTCAGATTTTTAGAACCGCGAAACTCTAACAGAAGGTATTCAATAAGAGCATTATTGCTGTGAAAGACATATATTGTCTAGTTACTGACTCAACAAATTAAAAAATATGATGTAGTCAAGCAAAAAGCAGCGGAATTTTGCTATATTGAACGACTAAGAAGGTGCGGAGAAAAATAGTATATAACAATTTCGAATCAGGTACGGTCAGATTTGCTGTTTTTCAATCTTTTGGTTCAAATGCTTCCTTTCAAAGATTCACTGATAATTGCTAACCTATGAGTCTTACAAAAAAAATCTGAAGACATGTTCGGTATGAGCACAAATTTTTGTTTATAAAAAGATGAAGAAACATTTTGTCCGGAAACTTTCGGATCGTTTGTTATTTCAAATTTATTATGAATATAGAAAATTACTTGATTAAGATAAAAATATTTTTCTGGTGTTGTTAAACCATATTTATGTTTTTCTTCAGCATCAAATCCTTCGAGTAATTCATAGAAAACATGATAATTTCTTTCATCATTTGAATGTGTTACAATGCGACTTTTTTCCAAAAGAAAATCCGATAATTTAGCTCCAACAATAGATTTTCTTAATGAAATAAACAAAAATTATTATTTAATAAACGAATATTAAAAAAAAGAAAAACATGTATATTACTGAGAATAATAAATTTCAATATATTTTCCAAATCTTGATGAATTATCATTCCGAACTGTTTTAGCATTTCCAAATGATTCAAGTAATGGTGATGCTTCAAGAATTTGTTCAGTAATTAATTTATATTTGCCTGGATTAACCTAAATTTTAACACGAAATCTTCTACTACAATTAATATTCACATTATAGAAGACTTACTGCTGCTAAATAATTCATAATTAATTTTGTACTTTGAGTTTTTCCACCACCACTTTCACCACTAGAAAGAAAACACAAAGTCAAGAAACTATTTCATAATTATAACGGATGATCAGAACGTTTGTAGACAAGATACTTTTTCGTTTTTGACTCACTAGAGAATATTTCCCGTGAGTCAAAAGCTATGAGTTTGTACTCGAGCTTAGAAGTTTTGTTCGAGAGGAGTGAAAAGCCAAAAAAATTAGTTTAAACGAAACTTGTAGGTCGACATTTTTCAGAAAACATATTGGTTAACTTTGACCTGCTTGAAAGCATTTCAAACGAGCCAAAAAAAGCTATAGGTCGCAACTAGAATTTGGTGTCTATTTTTCTTCAAGAATCGAGAAAGACTTGAAAAATTATTTTTAATAGTAAGCCAACAGGTTTTTTGGTCACCCTATAAGTTCCTTTTTGAAAATACTAAACATTGTCGGAGTCAATCATTTTATAGGGCGAAAACTTCTCTAAAAAATTTGATGTTAAACTAAGTTATAACTTTTATTAAAGTATTTTTTTCTCAAAAGGTTCTTTCAACGTAAACTGATTGTTGATTTTTCAACAATAAGTATTTAGAAAAATGACAATTAAGATGTCTTGTCTTTCGACAAGAAATATAATTCATAATCACATACCTAATAACAACACATTGATTCATTTTATCTGAAAGCATTTTACTGTGTACTATTGATGCAGTAGCAAAAATATGTCTACAAAAATATGAGTCAATCATAAAGAAAAATAATATGAATAATAAGTTCAACACGTACGCAGGTAATGTATGAAGAACTAAAGTATTTTCATATTTTTTAACATAATCCGTTGAATACATATCATGATACATATAATATGGATTGACAGCAACAAGTATACTACCAATATATGTCTAAGAATTTCGATAGAGAAAAAAAAATAAGTATAATTTTTTTCTTAAATAAATTTTCTTTTTATTTTTATTCAATTCCTACATAAAATTGTCGATGATCATATCGAACTTTGATATTCCAAAGAATAGAAGCTTCACTTAAATCACTCATTGTTATCATATCATTAACGCCTTCAGGTGGCAATGGTATACGTGATACAACTCGATTTGTATCATCAGTTGAAAAAACAAATACTTTCCCATTAAGAAGTGATTTAATTGATATACGAGTTCGTGTTAAATCAATCACATCACCAGCTATTGGATAGCCAGCACCCGAATCAAACCAAACGGGTTTACCCTAAAAATAGAATACAATAATTTTTTTTTCTATTTTTTACATTTGTTTGGTTTCACTTTCTTTTTCTTCTCATATAATAAATATGACAGAGGTAGGTTGGTAGCTTAGGTGAAATCAAAACAATAAGAGACTATAAAAAAATCTTTATTAACAATAAAGAAGAGTGAACATTCAATTTCTTTTTTTTTTCTTGCTTCTCTTTTTCTTTTATTCAGTTTTTTAATTCATAAAACAATCATATCCAAGGATAAGTATAAAATAATAGCGACAACAACAATAACATAATACGCATCGTATTCATCGTTCGAATAATAGGGAAATATATACGATAATGTACGCATCAATTCAAACTGTATGTGGTTGTCATGGATTTTTACTGTTCGAATCGATTCATTGCGATCGATGTCGGTCATTAATTCCATTTCAACTTAGTGATGAATCTCTTATTGATCCAATATTAACAAATAATATGATCAATGGAATTAATATTAAATCAATGCCTCCGAATAAACATGCATCTAATATGCTTGTATCACATCAAAAACAATACGGAATTACAACTGGTCATGTTCGTTTTCGAGCATTATGTCCTTTTTGTAATAGTCCAACATATGTTTTACGTTATTTTTGTAAACGTGAACATATGTATTATCATTTACGTATTCAATATTTTGGTGAAAATGAATATAGTGTATACAAATCAATTGCTGAAACTCAAAATATGAATAATCATGAAAAAACTGATTCACAACATGATGAAACCGATGCTTCAATAAGTATCAGTGCTGATGATTCAATTACATTAAGTGGTACTCTATCTCAACAACCACCATCAACTATTATCTATGATCAAACTGGTTTACAAAGTGCAAGAGATCAACAAATTAAAAATGAAAAAAATTTATATCCATTTCATGATATAGAAGGAGATTTGTTTGATGTATTACGAAATGGTCTTTTCTATGATACAATTCTTCAATGTCAAGATGGTATTAAAATTCAAGCACATCGATGTATTCTCGGTATGCATGTTCATATATATATATATATAGCTATAAGATTGTGTTTTGTCTAAAAGTATTCAGCAACTTCCAAGATTTTTTTTCCAATAAATACTCTTATACATTTTATTACCAAACGAAAGAGATTAGACTAAAGGTATGTACCTAGCTAAGGATGAGAGCAACAATGACACTGACGAGAAAACTATCCGAACTATAACTCACTGTTTGAATTCCTATTAAGTCCACAAGAAAGCCTTGGTAAGACTAGAAAAATCTTTAAAAGATTCGTACCTATGAGGCTCTAAAGCCGAGTTATAATCGTATTACTTAATTTTCGACCTATTTTTAAGTATTTACTGGAGAACCATGTCATAGAATTTCGATCTGTAATTTTGCCCATAATTAGATCTAATGGATCTTGGAATATTGTGAAAGTTTCAGTCGAAACACAATATTCCTTTGCCGAGGTATTGAATTTTCAAGTATACTTAATTTTTGTGGTATGTCTGTGGCAAGCGATTATACTCATAACTCGATTCCAGAAGTCCATGAGTACGAACTCTTTGAGGATTTTTCTAGTCTTACAAAGACTTCTACTATGAGTTCAAATGACGAATTAGAATTGTGATAGTTACTTCATTAGGGCTGCAGACTGGCTGAGGATGAGAAGAAAAAAAAAATTTTTATAAATCCTGATAACATCTTGAATTATTGATTATTTTATATAGGTGGTCGTTCAGCATGGTTTCGAAATCTTCTTGGTGAACATCATGATCTAGAAACAAAAGGTGAATATGTTCTACAAATAAGTATTGATGATGTACATTCTGAGATCATGAATGAAATATTAAATTTTATTTATACAAATCGTTGTTTAATTAGCTTAAAAAATGCACCAGATCTATTAGTTGTTGCAAAACGATTTGAATTAGAAAAATTAACTCGACAAGTTTCGGATTTTCTTATATTTCGTCTTACTGTTGATAATGCTCTTGACATGCTTATCAGTGCACATGAATCAGATTCCGAAGCACTTAAACATGCATGTATACGTTTAATTAATCGTCATGCTGAAAAAATTAAACGTACAGAAAAATGGAAAAAATTCAAAGCTGAATATGTTGATTTAGTACCTGAATTATATGAAAATCGAATCGAACGCCCACCACATACACAACATACATTTCTACCTGATGTTTTTACAGCACCAGCTATATTACCAGAAAGTATTCAAAAATTAAGTCAATTATATGAAAATCCAGTTAAACAACGAGCTCCTTCACCAAAATCTCGATTTTTACCTCCACCAAAACAGCGTCAAAAACCTTCTACTCAAAATCCTTCTTTTCAAACAGCTCACCATGCTCATCCTAAGGAGCCAATGGTAAAAGAAACAACAGGTCCTTTTCCTCAACGAAACGGTTCAACACTTTCATCTGCTTTTGGCCGAGAAAGTCCAGTGAGAAAACAAGTACCAAATAATACAGGACGTCGACCTGCACCAACACAAGCAGCAGTTCCTCCACTTGCACGTACAGGCTTTCCAACCGTTAAACAACCAGCACAAGTGGAAGCTTATCGTCGTCCAGCAAACATCTATGAAAAAAGTGTTGCTCTACCAACAAATAATCAAAAACAAAAACCTAACAATAATCAGGTATCACAAAGATCACCACCATCAGCACCAACAAAAACATCCAAATCTATAACCCCTAAACGTGCCATAGAAATTCGACGAAGTCCAACATTAACAGATACATCACAAGATGAACATTTAATATTAGCACGAGTTATTAGTGTTGACACGATGGAATAGTATTTATTTATTTATTTATTTATTTCATTTTAAAAGAACTTACTCGTTCGAGACATTCCATTGTCATTTGTGTGATGTGGTTTTTAAAATAATGATCAATTAATAACAATCTAAGAAATAAAAATAATACTATTGTAGATATTTCTTTTCATTATTTTTTCATTTAATATAGATAAATGAAAAAAAATTATATTTTAAAAAACACAAAAAAGAAAAAAAATATTCGTCGATGTAATTAAGATATAGAAATTTCACTTTAGTTCAAAGTTCTTTAAACATTGTTCACTTCTTCTTTATTCCTATTCGATAAAGGATTAACTGAACAGAGTCAATATAACAAAATGAGGATCCCCGCCATCAACAGAAATAGGCTAATTGCTTATTTGACTCCATATGAACTCGTCTTTTGACGTCTCTTTTTTTGATACATACCGTCTTATTGTTTGTCCTCATTTGATATAACAATACAAAAAAAAACATAGACCTATCAATAGAAGAGACTATTATGAATTCTTATCGAAATATTTGACAATCATAAAAAAAGAAATATAAAAATCAAGATTTTCGATTTCGTTTATTGAAAACAATATTATTATTATCAATGAATACTTGCTGTGTTTTTGAGATTTTGTAGTAACAAATAATTGACTTTTATCGATACAATCGTTAAAAAGAGATTTATAACAAGTAAGTTAACTGTCTTTTCGGAGACTAGAGGCTTGAGTAATGAACGTGTCACCGTCAGTCGATGGTCAATTGCTGATTGCTCTCCTGTTTGTATGTGCTTGCGTGTGTGTTAATCCGTAGTCATCATTCGAACGTGTCTTCGATTCATTCTCTATTTCTTTCGTTCATTCTCCGCCTCCGCCTCAATGTTGTCTTATCTTCATTCCTTTTTTTCGTATTTCATTACATTCTTTTTGTGTTGTAAATGATGACCATCCCTCTCTATAACAAATTTAGTCTACATGTCTCCAAAGAGTGTATAAAAAAAAAGACTCGAAACATTATTGACATATGAATCGTGTTCAGTGTCATTAAATGAATAATGATATTTACTGATTGAGTAGTACAATATGCACATGATTATTATGCATTGTTGATTCATTTGTTATATTGAAGAATTTGTAATTACTGATGAATTGAAAACTAAAATGACGAGGAAAAAAAAACGTATGATAAATTGAATTTCGTAATTAAAATGTTAATTATTATACTGACATACGAAAAAACATAGTAAGACTATTTTTTTTTCTTCTGCTCAATTTTTAAACTTATTCATCATGTTCTCTAATGTGTCAGTTATAACATATATTCATAGTTAGTATTATAAAAACAATATTAAAAACATTTAAAGTGATTACATCATGTATTCTAAATATTGAAGAATTATATAGATATTGCTTTGATAATGTTTTTATTGATCATCAAATAGCATTGTCATAATTATATTGAATAGATATATGATATAATGTTTTTCAATGTTTGAAATAAAAATGACACATCGATTAGATCATCTTTTGTTTTCTTTTATCGAAAAGTAACTATTACAAATTATCAATTATGATACTACTTCTAACGATCGAAGTTTGAATGCAATAGTTAGAGCTCATTGAGTTGGTCTCGGACGTAGATCAAACGGGCACGAACAATAGCATATATAACGAGAAAATCAGACGACACTTCAGATTTTTCAATATAAAGTGGAGTACAAGAAAAAATATAGCTTGCTGTTGATCTTCGAGAAAAATACTTTCGTAGAAGCGATGAGTTTAAAACAAACATTTATTCATAGAATATACACTCATACAAGTTATTACAAAAATATAATAATCATAGATTGATTCTTTTTTTTTTTCTTAAAAATACGAAATCCAGATACATCTTAATATTATCAATGTAATCAAATAGCATAGAGTTGATATGTTAATTAGTTATTTGATATTGTTCGTGTAATGATTTGTCTAATTCATGGAGAGTTGTTGATTTTAGTTTCTGTACAACTCCCTCTACGATTAACTATAGACTTTTAATATTTTATCAATTTTCATACTATTTATTTGAGAGTCAATCAATCATTCCAAATACTTCTCATACTAAACGTTGTTATTGAAAACTGCATGTATTCTAATTATTTTATCGTGTTAAAATTGCTACCTTTGTCTAAATTGTTGGCAGACTCTATTGAAGACATAGCCTTGAACAATTTAACAACATAAGAGAATTTTTATAATCTTTCTGAATGATTAGCCCAAAATATGATATTGCTTGATACAAATTCACACCAGCACAACTTTCTGTCTGTAGTTAGGAAGTTTCTTAAATATCCTCGTGGTAGCACGTTCTTGTGCCCCATTCAATGAAGTTGACACTTCTTAAATTCTGTTTGGTCATTGTTTCTCACAAACTTCCTTTCAAATCATTCATTGATCATACGACTATTCTCGATTATGATCTTGTTAACATCGATTATTACCATCCGAGTAATGCTTCATGGTGCCATTCTATAACAGTAGTAATAATATAGCAAAGAAGGAATAAGTTTTTCCGATCACCCTGTATAACACGGTTCAAGATAGGAATAGATGTCGGGGAAAGCTACGTTCGTTTTGTTTTTATTTGATTTTACCTGTTATTAATTTTTATCAAAAATTGATTGGTTTATTTCAATAAAACTAAGACATTGAAAGCTGGTTTCTTTTCTAGCTACATTATAATTTCTTTGACAGCAATATATTAATTTCATTTAGGTTTTACATATATTTTCATTTTGCTTTATTGATATTAATCAAATGTTAATATGAGATAATTCTTTTGTACGATGGATTACATCTCATAGAGAAACTGCTCAATAGCTACAGCGCTAGGATTTTCGGTAAGGGAGATAAGTCCCCATCTGCCATACGGTGAGATTACCGTTAGCAACAAGTTTAAAATTTTCCGAAGATCTCTGACTCACTGTGGCGCCACCATTATTTACTAATGCTAATTGAATTGGTTATATACATATCTTATAGTCTATTCGCCATTATTCAACATTGTTCCCAAGCAATATTCTTCTTTTTTATCTACGCAAAAAATGTAAGTGCATAGATGTGTAATAATCAATAGTCTTTTTTTTTCTCTAGACAAATTAATATAGAAGTATATTTAAAATAAAAAAAAGATTGATTTTCTAAATGAATATCACTCGCTAACATAATCAAGTCATGTAGACCCTCATGTGATAAAAGAATCGGCAAACAAAACAAAAATATCATCATCGTCAGCCATTCGACCTTCCACGTTCTCGATCTTTCTTATTATTCTTTCTCGGCCGATATAACAAGCAGATGCGATGTTTATATGATGACTTCAGCACTTCAGTACTCTCTCTCCCCATCTCTCTTCCCCTCTCTCTTTCTTCAGTTGCCCTTCTACTTTGCCCGTTGATTTCAGTAATTGTGCAATACTTTCACTACTCTTTTATAAATACAATGTCCTTTTATTTCATTGCTCAATATATTACATTCTTGTTTTTATTGCATTTCAGAAAGATCCCTCTCGTCGGGCAATCAATAAATACCATCTCAATCGAGTATTTAAATATTTTATAAAAACCCGACCATGGTAAGATAAGAAAACATCAAAGTATTGATTTTAAATATTATGAAAATAATTATAGGTTAATTTTACCGTCGACGAAATTCGGGGTTTGATGGACAAGAAGAAGAACATTCGAAACATGTCCGTCATTGCCCATGTTGATCATGGAAAATCGACATTAACTGATTCACTTGTATGCAAAGCTGGTATTATTGCTCAGCAAAAGGCCGGTGAAATGCGTTTTACAGATACGCGAAAGGATGAACAAGAACGTTGTATTACAATTAAATCAACGTATGTTCTTTTGTTTATTTATTCAAAATTATTTTGTTTATTTTTTTCGTTCTAGGGCTATTTCACTTTATTATGAATTACCTGCTAAAGATTTAGTATTTATTAAACAAGAACGCGAACCTGATACACCTCATTTCTTAATCAATCTTATTGATTCACCAGGTCACGTCGATTTTTCATCAGAAGTTACCGCTGCTTTACGTGTTACTGATGGTGCTCTCGTCGTTGTCGATTGTGTCTCAGGTAAATATATATATATATATAACTTTCTTTAAAGCTTAATATATATATGTTTATTTTAAATTTAGGTGTATGCGTACAAACTGAAACAGTACTTCGTCAAGCTATTGCTGAACGTATCAAACCAATTTTATTCATGAATAAAATGGATCGTGCTTTACTTGAATTACAACTTCAACAAGAAGATCTTTTTCAAACATTTCAACGTATTGTTGAAAATGTCAATGTTATCATTGCTACTTATGGTGATGATAGTGGTCCAATGGGTGAATTACAAGTAAAGAAAAAAAGACAATTAATTTTAGTTTTCAAAAAATGTTTTCGACTTTAAGGTTGATCCAACAAAAGGTACAGTTGGTTTTGGTGCTGGTCTTCACGGATGGGCATTTACACTGAAAGAATTTGCTGAAATGTATGCATCAAAATTTAAAATTGAAGTTGATAAACTTATGAAACGTTTATGGGGTGATCATTTTTTTTCATCAACAGAAAAGAAATGGTCAAAAACGAGTGGAGAAGGTAAATTAACTCATTTTTTTGTTTATGTTTCTCTATTCTAAATCATATTTAATTAATTAAGGTTATACTCGTGGTTTTTGCCAATTTGTTCTTGATCCTATTTTCAAAGTCTTCAGGGCTATTATGGATTGTAAAAAGGAAGAATACACTCAATTAATTGAAAAATTAAATATTAAATTACCAAGTGAAGAGCGTGATAAATTAGAAGAAGGTGGTAAGCCACTTTTAAAACTTGTTATGAAACAATGGTTACCAGCTGGTGATGTTCTACTGACCATGATTGCTATACATTTACCATCACCTGTTGTTGCACAAAAATATCGTGCTGAACTTCTTTATGAAGGTATAAAACCGATTGAGTC